AGCTCAAACAATCCGCCCGCCTTGGCCTCCCAGAGTGCTAGGATTACAGGCGTGAGCCACTGCTCCCGGCCTATCCTTTTTTTTTTTGAGACAGAGTCTCACTCTGTCGCCCCGGGTAGAGTGCAATTGGTGTTACCTCGCCCAGCCCCTTTATCCTTTTAATATCTGTAGAATCTATAATGATGTCACCTGTGTAGCTTCCACATTGGAAATTTGTGTTTTCTCTTTCTCCTAATCACTTTATCTAAAAGTTTATCAATTTTATTGATTTTTTTTATAAACCAGCTTTATTGATTTTCCATCTATTAATTTCCGCTCTTATTTTTATTATTTATTTTCTTCTGATTATTTTGGATTTCATTTGCTTTTCCTTATCCTGTGGTTTTTTTTTTTTTTTTTAATGGTGGAAGCTTAAGTCCTTGACTTTAGGCTTTTCTAATACAAGCAGTTCTTGCTTAGAGAGTTGCATCCCAGCCTCATGCAATACCCAGAGTTAGGGCATCTGAAACAGAAAGAGGTGTGGCTGAGAGGTCATGGCAGGCGGAATACACCGGCTCAGGGGTAAGAGACTTGGTTTCTATGAGCCACTGACTAGCTGTGTGGCTTTGAACTTGGACTCTCTGAGCCTTGTTTTCTTGGCCTGCATAATGGAACCAGGGATTATCTCCTCTTGGGCTCCTGAAGATGAAGTAGTTGATAAATATGAAAGTACTTGCCCATGTGGAAGGGCCTCCCCAGACCATCGTGAGAGGTGGTTGTTATGGCATTTGTAGTAATAATGGCTTCTCCTGTCTTTCCAGATCAGCAAACAGCATGTACTCACCCATCCCCCAGAGGTAGGCTGTAGACCCATCTCCTTTTTGCCTTCCCCTTCTTCATGTCCAAGGGCTGCCCCTCCTCACTGCTCTCCTCGACCCCAGCCCCCAGGCCTGCCCCAGTTTCTGTGCTGGCACCCATGAGGCCACTGCCAACCCTCTGTCTTCCCACAGTGGCTCTCCCTTCCCGGGCTCGGTGCAGAACCCCGGCCTGCACGTATGGCGGGTGGAGAAGCTGAAGCCAGTGCCCATAGCACCAGAGAACCAGGGCGTCTTCTTCTCCGGGGACTCCTACCTAGTGCTGCACAATGGCCCAGAAGAGCTCTCCCATCTGCACCTGTGGATAGGTAAGGGGGTTGGGATGGGTAGGGGTCTGGCCCAGGGCAGGGGTGGGGGCTGGCATAGGTCTCAAGGGCCTTGCCCTGTCACCTCCCACCCATCTCAGGCCAGCAGTCATCCCGGGATGAGCAGGGGGCCTGCGCTGTGCTGGCCGTGCACCTCAACACCCTGCTTGGGGAGCGGCCTGTGCAGCACCGCGAGGTGCAGGGCAATGAGTCCGACCTCTTCATGAGCTACTTCCCACGTGGCCTCAAGTACCAGGTCAGAGCCCACCTCCAGGCACCCCTACCCTGCTGCTTCTCTCAGAGCCAGCCCACCTTCCAGCTAGTTCTTAACCTGTGGAAGTTCTGGGTGTCCTCAGGGCTGGGTCCCCACCTTTTTGTCTGTCTCCCAATGGGATTGGGGACGGAGGGCTCCGGGCCCCCTGTCAGTTCACTCAGCCGGGCCATCTGGGCTGCAGGAAGGCGGTGTGGAGTCAGCCTTTCACAAGACGTCCCCAGGCACCCCAGCGGCTATCAAGAAACTCTACCAAGTGAAGGGGAAGAAGAACATCCGTGCCACCGAGCGGGCGCTGAGCTGGGACAGCTTCAACACCGGGGACTGCTTCATCTTGGACCTGGGCCAGGTGGGCAGGCCAGCCAGCCCGAGTGCTCTGTGTCAGTGCCATCCTTTACAAGGGCGGGGGACCAGGATGCCAGGAAAGGGAGAGAGAGGCCGAGAAGCTGTCAGTCCATTCCAACTGGGACCGTTCCAGCCATTAGAAAACATCCCTGTATTTGCAAGGACAGAAACCAGCTTCCCTCTGATGTCTAGCCATTGCTTCTAACACTCAGGAGCTTACTCCCTCCTTCTCTTGGAAGCCTTTCTTGCTTTGTGTTTGCAGCCTACCAGACCATTCATTAATGCGTTCACTTACCCGTTCATTCCGTGGATCTATGATACCTTCCCTGAGCCAGCACAGGGACCATAAAAGCTCACCCTGGAGAGGCAGCCAAGATGAGTTGGTCATTTTCCACAATGCATGGCGGGATGTGATGAGAGCTCTCAGGCGGGCCGTAGCCATGTGCTGAGGGGGCCTCGGGGCAGAGAGGGCCTATTAGCCTGACCTGAAGCCAGCTGTCCCAGGAAGGTGTCATTGCACTAGACCTTCACGGAAGGGAAATGCTGTTCTAGGCAAAGGGAGCAGGTGAGCTGAGGCACCAAGGTGGGGAGAGGTGCAGACATGCATGTAGACAGCAGGGAGGGGTCGAGTGTGCCTGGGACCCGGGTGGGAACAGGAGCAGGGGAGTGAAATTGCTAAGGAGGGTGAGCCCCGGGACATGAGATTGCATGTCTGGCTGAGGAGCGTGGACTGCATCTTGTGGTGCTGAAGATTTCAGACAGGAAGATCACTCAGGAGCTGTTTGTAAGGGGGACTCTCCTGCCTTGCTATTGCCAGGGCAGGGGAGGTGAGGAGGGTCTGCCCGCAGGGTTTCGGGTAGGAGTGTGAGGTGCTGAGCTCAAGGACGCCACTCACCCACTCACCCATTCAGTAAGTACTTATTTTGTGCCTAAATACAGACCAGGCTCCGTTTTAGCAGTGAGCACACAGCAGTGAACATGTAATGCTGTAAAGAAGCTTATTTCTAGTCAGGGGAGACAGGTTCTAAACAAGATAAAGACATTTAAATATAAGGCAATGAGTGATGTGGAGAAAAATAAGAGGGCAAGAGATGGCAGGTGGGCAGAGAGACACTCTTGCGGAGTGCGGTCACGGCCATTCTCAGAGAGCCCTCTGCGGTGTGCCCTGCCTTCCTGATTGTCCTGCCTCAGGGGACAGTTCTTCAGAGAAGAGAGGGAGAGCTAGGGGCCCGTCCTCTGAGCAGAGGCAGGACGCAGCAGCCGACTCTGACCTGGCTTCCCTGCTTCTCTCCAGAACATCTTTACCTGGTGTGGTGGAAAGTCCAACATCCTGGAGCGCAACAAGGCGAGGGACCTGGCGCTGGCCATACGGGACAGTGAGCGACAGGGCAAGGCCCAGGTGGAGATCATCACTGATGGGGAGGAGCCGGCCGAGATGATCCAGGTTGGGGGACGTTGGAGTGGGCAGCTTGGAGCCAATGCTTGGAGGTGGCCAAGAGTCAGTGATGAGCTGGGGGCATGAGGGTGGCTGGTGGAGGGTGGCAGGGGGTGCCTGGGCACTGCCCAGGGCTGTGCTAGCTCACAGGCTGCCCCCTCTGGGTAGATGCTTGTCCTCAGGGCTCAGCAGCCTGGCTGGGGGGCCGGCTGGACCCAGGCCTCACTCACCTCTGCTGGGTGCCCTAGTGCAGGACAGTTTGCCCCACCAGAGGTGGTGGCCCTGGCCGTGATGGTTTGGGGAGTTCGGGGGCCGGAATCCCTGTAAACCTGGCCTGCTCTGGCACCTGCAGGTCCTGGGCCCCAAGCCTGCTCTGAAGGAGGGCAACCCTGAGGAAGACCTCACAGCTGACCAGACAAATGCCCAGGCCGCTGCTCTGTATAAGGTGGGCACCCCAGGCCTGCCCTGGGACCAGGCAGGGGATGGGTGGCAGCCTGCACAGCACAGCTGGCTGCATGCAGGGCTGCAGGGGAGGAGAAGGCGGTGGGGAGGTTGGGCCAGAACCAGCAAGGTTTATGCAGGGCTTGGAGGAGAGGAGGATGGGAGGTGGGTGGATGGCAGGCCCCCGGAGGAGATAAATGCCACTTCACTTTTGGCCCCTTCCTGGTGAAGGTTTGAGGCCAATACTGAGCGTTATTTTTTTGGATTCTGTGCATTTATTTGTAACTTGGAATCCACTTAATTTCTAAATGGACTCAGGGCCTCTGTACTGTAGGAATTGGGGATGCTGGGAAGGGTGGGGGCTGCCTCAGATTTGCTTTCAGGGCCTGGGCGGTGGGCAGTGGGAGGGAGCTGAGGAGGATCGGGCAGCCCCCTCCTCAGCTGCAGTGTGTGAGATCCGGCGCTGCCCTTCCTCCCCAGGTCTCTGATGCCACTGGACAGATGAACCTCACCAAGGTGGCCGACTCCAGCCCCTTTGCCCTGGAGCTGCTGATACCTGACGACTGTTTTGTGCTGGACAACGGGCTCTGTGGCAAGATCTACATCTGGAAGGGTATGTGTGGCTCCTCCACACCAGCCTGAGATGCCTGCAGCTGCTCTGGCCCCAGCAGGCTCCTCATTGCTGGGCTCAGCCTGCCCCAGGCTTGCAAAAGATGGCCTTGGGGAGCCCGCATGCTCCGGGATGGGGGGTTTCCCTTTGCTGTTCCCATTCCTTTAATTGTAGACAATGACTCTGAACTGCCAGGAAGCCTCAGAGTCACCCTAGGGCCTGTTCAAACAGAGTGCTGGGCCCCGCCCCCAGAGGCTCTGCATTACTCGGTCTGGGATGGGGCCAAGAACATGCATTTCTAACAACGTTCCAGGGGATGCCTAAGTTGTTGGTTCTAAGGACCACACTTTTGAGAACCACTGTCCTAGACCTGTCCTAGGCCTTCAGGGCTGCTGGGACCCCTGATCCTGGGATTCTGCTGGAAGGTATGATAGAGACAAATTGTAGATAAATTAAGTATCAATTTATGCAGTGGGTGATAAACTTGTAGAACTTGTTTTTCCAAAAGATTATATCTTCTGGAAACAGAAACACTGTTGTGCAAAAGCCTGTTAGGCTTGCTTTGACTATTTGAAAATGAAATAAATTTGCTCTGAGTCTCTGTAGGGTCTTGATGGAAATAGCATTTGCTCAATAAATAGTTGTGGGGTCAACCAAGCCAAGAAATTGCCAGCCCCCAGCCTGGTCAGGAAGACAGAGAAGTAGTAAGGTGTCTATATGGATAGCAGCTACCAGGCGATTCTATACTGTTTCCTCCTAAACTCAGCAGAGAGGTGAAATGGAGGGGCGTGCAGCCCCGCGCAGTGCGGGCAGGTCTCCCAGGGGTAGAGTGGGAAGAGAGAGCCTTGTTCTGCTGGGGCTGCCTTTTCCCTCCTGCCGGGGGGTGCATACCCCATGGAACCAGTGCCAAGCAGAGAGGGTTTCCCATAGGCCCATAGAAGCCTATATAACCCCAAACAAGGAACCGAATGGCATAGAAAGAAACCAGAGGAGAAACAGGAAACTTGGGAGGCCAGGAAGAGAAGTATCTCATGGGTAGGGGTGCAGCTGGACTGATCCATGATACCACAATACAGAATATTAATTTCAGATGCATTGTAGTTCATGGGATTTTCATAGCCTGGCAGGAGAGCCAACTACCGATCATAGCATTGTTTCTTTCGGAAAATGCCTGGAACTGGAGCCCAGGTTGTGTTCACGGGACTGCCTGCACAAGTGAATGGATTACATGGGAATTTTCATCTTTATAAGTGCTTTGTTAGTGTAACCATTAGGCCAACTTGCTGACATTATGGGAGTAAGTTCACCTTCATAATAAATTGCACCCTTTGTCCTATTTAGTTTAAAAAAAACAAAGGCTTGGTAACAGTACAATTATGGATGGAAGACACAAGGGGTTCTGGCAGGGAGGGGGTCCCTGGGCTCAGAGTTTGATGCTAGGGAGGACATCCATTCTCTCTGAAATATCCATGGGGCCCTGGTCAGAGCAGGTTTTGCTGATTGGACCCAGGCAGAAGAAGAGTTTTCATCTAGCTCGGTGCTGCCAGTTTGGGAAGAGTCTTAAGGGGCTGACTTCCACCTCCCAAGAGCCCCTCAACATTGCTAAGACCTCTTGGTACATTTATTTTTAAAATTGCCAGCTATTATGTGGGCCCCCTTAAATTCCCTCAAGAAAAATGGAATCGGGGCTGGAGAGGGTCCCTGCTCTTTTTTAAACTCTCCCTCCTATGATCCAGGGCGAAAAGCTAACGAGAAGGAGCGGCAGGCAGCCCTCCAAGTGGCCGAGGGCTTCATCTCCCGCATGCGGTACGCCTCACACACTCAGGTGAGGAGACGCCTGCGCCCCCAACCCTCCTCTAGGGCTCTGCCTGTGGCCTCCCACCCCTCAGACTGGCCAGGAAGGGCACGAGAGCCTCGGGCACCACCAGGAACAATCAGGCCTTTCTCTCAGACCCATCTAGTGGAAGAGCCCTTCTCAATCTTTCAAAATTTAAAGATGCATACATACTATTTTCAGAGGATTTTGAGCAGCACTCTCCTGGGTGCCCAGAGAACTGGGTGTGCCTTTGGACAGCTGTGCATCTCTTCTGGGCCACCGTTCCTGGCTGGTGTCACCCCCACCCTTGGCTGGTGCCACTCCCTGGCCTCAGTACAGTGTCTCTACAAGTCATTTTGGGGGGAGCTGACATAGCTTAGTTATAGCTCAACTATAGTTGGTGGCATCCCATCAAACTGTGCACCCACATCCTTGAAGCAACTCCTCAGTCTCTGTCCCTGTAATCTTGCTTCTGGTCTCTTGGCCCACCTTGAGGAGCCGCCCTGGCCTGGATACACATGGACTCAGGCCAGGTGCCCGACACCCGCCTCCCTGTCCTCCCTGGTGGACGTAGAGGTGGCAACCTCCTGAAACATACTTGTCCCCCACTGTCCTTGCAGGTGGAGATTCTGCCCCAGGGCCGTGAGAGTCCCATCTTCAAGCAATTCTTCAAGGACTGGAAATGAGGGAGGGCATCTCCCTGCCCGCTACTCCCCTGCCCTCATCTCCTGCTTTTTCCTCCTCTGGCTGCCTGGGCAGTGCTGAGTGCTGAGTGCCCCCTGCGGATGTTCAATAAAGGAGACAGTTCTTTCCCCTGCCCTGCCTGCGCCGCCCTTCCTGAGCTGATTCTCACGTCCCACCTATTCACCTGGGTTCATTCCTGTGCTGGGGGCCGAGTGGATGACAATCTCCAGGAGCCAGAGCTGCTTTGCATGATTGAGGAGTCCCAGCGGGGCTGGCAGGTACTGCTGTGAACCCAATAGGGAGGTGGCGCGGCGCCAGGCCCGGATCGCTTACTGCCTGGCTCAGTTCGGGCTCACGTTCCCAGCCTGGGGAAGGCTGTGGTGAAGGGCTTGGGATGCGGATCCTCTTAAGCCAGTGTTTCCTCAGATGCCCTAATAAACCACTGCGAGGCAGCAGCTTCACATGACAGATGATTGCTGAGAAAGAGGGCTCTTCACGACTGTCCAGAGCCTGGCCGTCGCTTCACAGGCACCTTGCACTGTGTGTTTGGCGATGTTCTGTGTGGGGCTGTGGGAGAAGCGCTGGGCTAATGCGGGGAGTCTTGGGTCTGGTTCTCGTCCTGCCTCTGTTTGATCCTGGCCAAGTTGCTTTTCCTTTTGTAGACCTAAGTTCATTCTCTTGTGTAGTGGGGTGGTGGTGAAACCTCAAAGAGGCTAGAGAGCTAAATAGCAGGGAGAATGCAGTAGCCAAGAAGAGGTCCCATCCGGGGAGCAGGAACAAGGTGTGAGACCATGTAAGCCTGAACTGAAGCCGTGAGGAGCCCGCATGCCGCTGCCCTGATTCACCCTCACCCTTGGGTCCTATGGGCTGTGTGCTTACTGAGCTCTGGAAACTGGATTCCTCCATCTCACACAAAACCAGAAAAGCTAATCAAGTTCATCTTGCTCATTTTGTGCCAAGAAGCATAGAGAAATCAGCTCCCCTGTGGGTCCACCTCCTTGACCTCTCTGCACAGACTTCCCAGCCTTTACCTGACAGTCTACACAAAGAACAGGTGCCAGGATGGTTTTTAAAAGGGGAGAGAGTAAAGGTTGCACTAAATCAGCGGTTCTGACAACATTTTTAGAGTTATGGAATATTTTAAGTCTCCCATGAAAGGCCTAGGCCTGACCGGGTGCAGTGACTCATGCCTGTAATCCCGGCACTCAGGGAGGCTGAGGTGGGAGGATCACTCGAGGCCAGGAGTTCAAGACTAGCCTGGGCAACATAGTAAGACTCCGTTTCTACAAAAAAAATGTTTTAAAAATTAGCCGAGTGTGAACCTGCAGTCCTAGCTACTTGGGAGGTTGTGGCAGGAGGATCACTTAATCCCAGGAATTTGAGGTTACAGTGAAACATGATCACACCACTGCACTCTAGCCTGACCAACCAACAGGGCAAGACCCTGTCTCAAAAAAAAAAAAAAGAAAGAAGAGAAGAGAAAGGCCCTAGTCTTGTCCCAAGATAATACACAGATTAAGATCTTTGCATCTACTTTCAGAGGGTTCAGGCACCTGCTACAATCTGTCCATCAACAGAACTGCAATTTAATTCCTGGATTATGTTATTGCTAATGTCCCAAGGTCTGAAATTGTGAGCAGAGAACATAACACAGGGTGTGAGTTGGGAAGCAATGACCTGGTAAGGGGCATAGACTTCCCCTCCAGCTAGAGGCTCCCAGGGCCCATGTGGACTGGTCTCTGGGTGTGCTGGGGGCTGAGCACCCACAGTTGGGTCTGCGGAGTTAGCCTCAGGGTCGCAGAGCGGGTAAAAGGGATGGGGGGAAGAACTGACACATACTCCAAAGTGGAGGCTCAGCTGCAGCTTTTCTCCCCTGCGTTCCAACCCCCACCATGCCCAGTAACCTCTCTGCCATCTCTGCTGGTCAGCTGAGCACCAGGATGGAGGAAGTAACAGGAATGAAGGATCCGTTCAGGTCAGGCAGAGATGACACAAGGCACACTTCCCACCCTGAGGCATCCTGCTAACAGCAGTCTGGAAGTTCCCTTCCATACCTGGGTGGCAATCTGTCGTCTCCACTTCTGTGATGGGTGCCCCCTCCAGTGGGTCAGACTTGGAAAGGCCTGCAGGGGCTAGACAACGTTCTGTACCTGCACTTGAGGGAGTCCAGAGGACAGCAGCAGAGTGGGACTCTTGCCTCTCACTCCCCAGCTCAGGAACCCCGGCCTAGGGACACTTTTGTGAAGGGAGCAATAGAGCCAGGCTTCCCCAGAAGCAAATGCATAAAAACCCCTGTGTGGACTGGTTCAGACTGTCAATCTTGATAAGAGCCAGGGCTATACCGCGTCCACTGGCTAGAGCTTGCAAGGAGCCTCCGTGCCTGTGAGTGTAGCCGAGGTGAGGATGGACATCCCATGAACTCGGCAGGAGTCTGGCCAGGGCACAGGCAGCCTTCTCTCTCCTGAGCCCATGATGAGGCTGGAAGCCATCTGTGTCTTGACCTGCTGGTGTGCCTGGCTCTAACCAGGCTCCGGAACAACAGGGCCACAGGAAGGTGCAAGACTTGTCTTGGAAGAAAACACTTGAGACCCTTAAACTAGAACAATTCCTTTAGTTGAAAGCTGCTGGTGTGTGAATTTTCTCTTTCCCTCAGCCAGGCCAGAAAACCATCATGGGATGTGCGCAGCCTCTACAGAAGGAAGTCCCAACTTATGGACGGTTAGGATGGGGCAGCCAGGGGACATGCCTAGCCAAATGCCCATTTCTAGAAGACAAACAATGGAGGGGGGGACTGGGAAGAAGAGGGTAGGGTAAGTGAAAGGCCAGAAACCCCTAGGAGTCCTGACCGGCCTGGTGGATGGAGGAGAGGAAGCCCTTCCCCCCAGCTGAGGTCCCAGGCAGCTTGCTCTAGGTCATGCTGCCCCCTGTCGGCTGCTGCGCTGCTGTCTCCCTCCTTCCAGGCCTAACTGCACAGACGCCTGGCCCAGAGCCCTGCTGCCAGGGAGTCAGAATTATGGCTCCCTCTACTTGGGCATCTCCTTCCCACGTGGGCATGTACAGAATATCCACATGGGGCTGTCCCACCTCATGATCCATTCACTCCCATTGAAATAACCTGGAACTCAACCCTGTAGACTGCAGCCCAGGTGAGACTAAGATGAGATTCTCTTTGCTCTGGAGGCAGGTCTGCAGGGTGTGGGAAAAACCTACCTGTTCCAATGCCTCACGGCAGTGAGGGGAGGGTACTTGGCCCAAGAACTTCCTACATCCCACCTGCTGAGACAGGAAGGGGCCTGGCTCAGCCAGGGTGCTCCTAACATGGTTGGCCATGCACCTCTGGGTGCAGCCCAGCCTTTAGGTCTTTCTATCAGTCAGTCTCTGGGACAGTCAGATCAGCCACGTGCCTTCGGATGAGTGAGACTGCAGGTCACAGACACCTGTGAAGGTGAGGTCCTTGGAGTAAGGGGCTTGTGGCCCACAGCACTTCTTTGCCCCCAACAAGGAGGCCTGTCCCTTTGACACCCCAGCCAAGTAGATCTCCAGTGTCTTGAGCAGCCGCCGCGGGCTCTTCTTGGCTAACACTTCCAAGTCTGGAACAGAGAGAATTGGGGACAGAAGGCTTGAGGAGGCTTTGGATGGCACAATCGTCGGGGCCTCAATCATAGCAGCTCTAGGGAGCACCCCACCCCTATCCTATGGAGAGAAAAGTGACAGTGTCACCTAACATGGAGAGATCACTAGAGGGAGCCTAAGGAACCAGATATAGCCACAGGGACCACACAGGCTACATTGTCCAGGACAACTGTTGACCCAGCTTCCAATTTTGGATTCAGAAAATATGAACATGATAGGCATAAGGCCAGAAAGGGAGGAGAGGGTGGCAGAGAAAGGAGTACTAGGAGGCTCCAGAGGGTGGGCTGATGAAGACTTGGGCAAGCTGGGATTTGAGGAGAGAGTGTGGATGAGGGTGGGGGAAACTACAGCCAAAACCAGTCTAGCAGCTACCCTGGGGTCTCTGGACCCGGCACACCGGCGTGCAGGAGCCTCAGCGTCCCCAGAAGAAAGAGCGCACCTTTGAGGACAAAGCCTGAGTCTGAGATGGTCTTCTGCTGCGTCCTCCAGACGTGTGCGAGGTGGAGGAAAGTGGCAGCGTAGAAGCTGTTCACTACTGGGATGACCTTCTGCTGCCGATTACACTCCCTACAGGACAAGGGAGGTGACCTGCTCAGCCAATGACGAGGGCTGACATCTGGGTGCCCTCCTGCCCCCCCTCCGCATTCCCCCAGGGAAGCCAGCCCAAAGCTAGTATGCCCCCACCATTCCCCAGGCAGCCTCACATCTGAGGTCAGGCGTGGGGAGGAGACACGTGCTGGGGAGGCTGGTGCACAGGGACTTTGTCTGGGCCCTCCAGGGGCCAGCAGGGGAGGAGAAGCGCTGGGGAGAATGAGGCAGGGGATCGGAACGAACCAGGCTCTGCTGAGTCACTCTAATCAGCTGGCAGCTGGGGACTCACCTGGAGAGACACTCCTCTCTCAAGGCCTGGATGGCGATGCGGGTGATGTTCACAGACATCAAACAGAAAGGGAATTGCTGGAATGGAGGGGGCACCCGGTCAGTGGCAACAGCAGCTCTCACCTTGTGTGTTTTCTGTCATCGGCTGGGTAGTGGGGCCCACAGGCAATCAGCTCCAGAAGCAGCAGCCGATCTTAATTTATCTTAATTTTCCCAGTAATCTTCTTCCTACCTTACAGATGAGGAACTGAGGCTCAGTGGCCTTAAATAGCTTTCCTAAGGCATGGGAACCACGATGACAACTGAGGTTATTCGAGGCACTCTTGTACCTCTCCAGCCTCTTCATCGTCCCGGCCCACTGGCTCTCTGGGCCTTCACCAGACTCATCCCCGAGCTGCCAATGATGGCCCACCACACCCAGGGGGCCGGGATGAGCACAGGAGTGAGACTCTAACTAACTATAGGTTCTTGAAGTCTCCTCTCGCTTCTCTAGGCTGCTGATTATCTGGCTGCTCAGGAGCACCTGGTCCAAAAGCAGAGAAGATGCAAGAAGGGAGAGGTCAGCCTTGACTTGCCGCACACCTGTCTCTCATAACACACAGGCCTGAGAGCTGGCTGTGCAGGTCACACTCCCGAGAGGCGGCAGCCTGGGTGCAGCAGGGCTGCTCCACCAGGACAGGCCCCACAATCCTCTGCAGGGTCTGAGTTAAGCTTTTAGGGGGGCAATTTCTTTCCTGATCTTTAATAACAATAAAACCAAGCAAGCATGATTTCTAAATGGAAAGGAGACTTTTCCAGGGAATTTGCAGACACGACATGTTATTTTGCCCTGTTGCACACTCTCAAAGACATCCACTGAGAGGAACATGTACATTCCTTAGTACAGAGTAAGAGCCAAACCAAAAAAGTTCATTTGTCCTACCTGCTTCCCATGAGAGGAAAAATCCTCTGCACTGTGCTGTCCAGGATGGTAGCCACTAGCTACATGTAGCTGTTTAAATTTTATTTATTTATTCATTTATTTACTTATTATTTATTTATTTGAGACAGGGTCTTGCTCTGTCATCCAGGCTAAAGTGCAGTGGTGCAATGATGGCTCACAGCAGCCTTAAACTCCTAGGCTCAAGTGATCCTCCTGTCTCAGCCTCTGTAGTACCTTCCGGAGTACAGGCCCATACTACCACACCTGGCTAATTTTTCTATTTTTTCTAGAGACAGGGGTCTCACTATGTTGTTCAGGCTTGTCTTAAGCTCCTGGCCTCAAGTGATCCTCCTGTCTCAGCCTCTCAAACCACTGGGATTACAGGTGTGAGCCACCATGCCAGGTCTATTTAAATTTCAATGAATTAAAAATTAGATAAAATTTAAAATTTAGCCCCTTGGTGGTACTAGCCACATTTCAAGTGTTCGGTAGTCATGTGTGCTTGGTAGCCACTATATTGGACAGTGCATTTCGAATACCTAGAACACTTCCATCAGTGAGGAAAGTTATACTGGACAGTGCTGGACTGCAGAAGGTCTGGCTCCACAGAGATTTTTCTCAGGGTCTTTCATAGATTCCAGATGTTGGCCTGGCTACCTGTTAGCTGTGTGTCCTTGAGAAGGCCACCCAATCTCTATGAGACTCAGCCTTCCCATTTCACAAAATCAAAAAGGAAATAAACTTTGAGTGCTGGGCAGAAGAGAGTTATTAATATCATGGCAGGCCTAAGACTGCCATCCTTACAAACTCGTGCTTACATGGTTGGCCTGTGGCTGGCATCTGAGAACGTGGATTTTGAGGAGGTTCTCACCATTCCCTAACTGATAAGGATGGCTCACTGTTCCTGAACTGCTTGTGTAAACAAGATGGTTTATGCCGAACACCTGCTTTCCTTCTGTGACTCTGGAATTTTGGGATGTGCCAGGCAGAGGGTGCCCACATGATCAGCCCCCAGTGACAACCCTGGGTACTGAGTCTCTAATGAGCTTACCCAGTTGGCAACATTTTACACGTGTTGCACAACTTGATGCTGGAGGAAAGAAGTGTGTCTGTGTGATTCCACTAGGAGAGGACTCTCGGATACTGGCACCTGGTTTCCTATGCATTGTCCCACGCACTGCTTCCCTTTGCTGATCTTGCTTCTGCTGCACTAAATCAGAGCTGTTAAGTATGACTTTACGTCGAGTCCTGTGAGCCCTCTCAGTGCGTCATCCATCTGGAAGGGGGTTCCGGAACTCAGCACTAGTGCCATGCTAGGCAGAGTCAAGTCACTAATTGTTATGAAAACTCTAAGAGATAGGTTTTATTAACAGTTTACATTTTATACCACTACCTATCTCACACAGTGCCTGTGAGCTAATGCAAAATATTACATATGCAAAATACTGGGCACAGCGCCTGTTCACCGTTACGATCCTTGCCTCAACATGGGTAGCTGAGGTCAGCAGCAATGCATTCACACCTTCATGTAGAAATCAGTACTGCTTATTTAATTATCATACACACTTGCATATCACCCTTTCCCTGGATTTCCTCTAATCTAAAAACAGATACAGGAACAAGAATATGATAGCAACATAATTAACACAGGACCTAAACCCAGTGTTCATCTATTCTTGGGAACATTCTTACAAAGTCCACTTACCAAAAAGCAGCGGAAAATTGGATTTTAGATCTAAATGTCTCCTTTGCCTCAGCAGTTCCCTTAGACCTAAAAAGCACCGCTTAGAGCTAAAATACTGCATTGAGGCTGTGTTCAGGGAACTGATTAAAAGAAAGCAGAGGAAATTAGACCTGGACATTTTTGTGCTTCCCTTTAAAACTCCATTTGTCCTCATGCCTCACGTTTGGGCTTAAACACCTTTGAATGCTGAAGCGGGAAGACACAGCATCTTTCGAGGCTGCTGCTGACCTGGCCCCACTCCTGAAGATTCCACTCCCGCAGTTCTGGGGAGGGGCCCGGGCATCCATACCCCCACCCCTAGGTGCCTCTGAAGTGTGCTGCTGGCAGGAATCACTGCTGTACCGGCCCAACACCGGCCAGCTGTCAGCACACATGGGCTCCAGGCCCAGCTGCCCCACTTACCGGCTTCGGCTCTGTGCAGAGCTCTCTGCCTGTCTCACTCACACATTCCTCTGCTGGAAGAGGAGACTGACAAGGCTCGTCTCTGCCCTACCTCTCTCGCAGGACGTCAGGTTGACAGAATAAAAGGATGGGAGACACTGCTTGGAGAGCTATAGAAACTGTTGCCTATGAATAAGCATTCTCATCAAGTGCTCCCTTGCCCACCAGCAAGGAGCCCGGTGCACCCTGCCTCTCGGTGAGACTGCTGTAACCCGTCCACACCACTGCACTGGATGGAGTCTGGGAGTCCCCCCAGCATTTGCAGTTTTTGGCCAATTCTCTCTAGCAGGATATTCCACGGGCACTTGAAACTTCAACTTTCTCCTTAGGAAAGAATGGGACAGGCTGCTGGCAGGGCTGTGTCCCCAGCTGTCATTCTGACCTCACAGGCTGCCTCCTGGAAAACTCTGTGTTTTCCAGGTGCATGAGGGCTGGCAGTCAAGTTTCACTTTAAAAAATTAGAATTACTTATAGTTCAAAGAAGCATAAAATAAAGTTGGAAGGGACTTTAGGATTATTTAGGCCAAGTCCTTCATTTCATAGAAGAGCAAACTGAGGCCCAGAGAGGTTAAGTGACTTGCCTTAAGTTACAGCTAATAATACTGCAGATTGAACTAGAATGTAGCTTCCCGACACCCACCCTAGCCTTCTTATTTTATTTTATGGTATTAAGCTCTTATTCTTCCTTTTTAAAAAAAATATTTTATTGTGGTAACAATACTTAACATGAGCTCTACCCTCTTACATTTTCAAGTGTATAATGCATTATTGTTGACTATACTGCTATTGCTTCTTATTGTCTCACATACGTATTGTGGAGCAAATAAGTCCCTGATAAATTCCACAAAGCCCAGCAGGTGAAGGGGTAAGAAACAGCTTGGCGCTAGGCACGGTGGATCATGCCTATAATCCCAGCTTTTCCAGAGGCTGAGGTGGGAGGATCACTTGAGGCCAGTTCAAAAGTAGCCTGGGCAACATAGCAAGATCCCGTCTTTGCCTTACTTGTCCACTGATATATCTCCAGCACCAAGAAAAATAACTAGCACCAGGGATGCTGAATGTTGTGAAGTGAATGAACGAATCCCAGGTCCCATGAGTCTGGGATAGATAAATGGTAGGAAGCAGGTCAAATTTGTTTTCTAAAATGCAGGGACTACCACCTTTTACTACTTGGGAAAACTGTGAAACCCAACCTCAGAAAGCAGATCTGGACAGAGACGGAGGTGGCCTCAAAGAAGCCACCTCCGGCCTGTCAGTAAGTCCAGGAGTCACCTGACCCATGGAAGTAAATATTCTCCCCTTGGGCACATGAAGGCTCAGTCTCTTCCTTCAGGGTCAGGAGAAGCTACCAATACTGGGCAAGAGATTTCCTCAAGGAGAGTAGAGAATGGAAACAGCAACCTCACAGTTGTGTCTAGTGCTTTTGCACATTATCTAATTTCATTTTCCCAATGAGCTAGCTACAGATTCTATGATGTCTATTCCACAGATGAGGAAACCAAGGCTCTGAGGAGTTGAAGGACTTGCTTGAGACACACAGCTGAGGAGTGGTGGAGCTCAGACTACGACACGGGTCAGACTGACAGGCGAGCCTATTCCAGGTATGCCTCGGCTGTCCTGAGAGCCCTCCCAGTGGGAGCTGTCTACCTGTGAGGCCCTCCTGGCTGCTCAGGTCCTAGCTCCATAGCCCTCTCTTCTGCCTCCCGCCAAAGCCCCACCTGGATGTCGTGACGAGACAAGCGGAAAATCTCCTGCGCCATCAGCAAGGTCTTTGAGTCCATCACCAGGTAGAGCAGGTGCAGGAGGGCGAGGAAGCCTGCCCCTCTCAGGTCTGTGGCTGGATTTGCTCCTGTAACAGAAACCACGAGGAAAGAGGCTGTGACGGTGAGCAATGCTTGAACAAGTCCCTGTTCCCTTGAGCTTCAAGGGCTCTGTGTGGGAAGGTGCCCTGACACTGGCCTCTTCCTAGAGCAGGAGGAGCATGAGAAGCGCAGGTCCACTTCCTGCCACATTCCTGGGACTGGCTCTAACGTGCCGAGCAGGGGCCATAGGACCAAACAAGTGGGGACTCCGGGGCCCTGGGGGCAGTTTTCTCGTTGCTGTGACCCTCCATAGTTATTTCTCCACACAACCAGCAGAGTGATCCTTCACCAAAAAAGGCTGCACTTGCAGATCTGGGACAAGATGAAGTGATGCACTTCTCCCTACTCCTCCCACTAAACGTAGCTAAAAGCCCTGGACAGGAATATTTAAAACACACATAAGAAGAGTGAAAGGTGGAGAAGACGACGGACGGCTAGGGATCTTGAGAGCTGAGAAGTGACACTGTGGCGAGTTCCTTGGGTTTCTTTTTGACTCATATACCCCAACTGGGTGCCAGAGAAGGCAGCAACCCAGAAATGCCAATGGGGCGACCAGAAAGCCCCAAGAAAAGCTCCTCTCTCTAGTCGCAGGGCCAGGAAAGGGGCAGCCTAGCAAGACAGAAAGCTTTAGCCAACATCTACCCTACTCCAGCCAAACACCACAGACAAAAATTCGGCCCCAGTCCCACTCTTACCCAGCAAATGCTACTGGGGAGCCCAGACTTCCACCCTTGCCTGACTGTACTGAGGTGCCCCTTAGCTCCACCAGGGGGTGTCTGAGAGGGCCAAGCAGGGAGCTGGGACTTTGTCCTTTCCAGTAGTAAGGAAAAACCTCTGGGCTGGGCGCGGTGGCTCACACCTGTAATCCTAGCACTCTGGGAGGCCAAGGCGGGTGGATCGCTCAATGTCAGGAGTTCAAGACCA